ATTCGACCATATCGTTTCTATTGGCCACAATGGTTCTGAATTTCTGATAAGCGTTGTTATCAAACATGTTATAAACTGAAAACTTAGAAAATTGAATTTCGACAATCGGTTTTGGCGAATGGCGATTGAAATCTAGATTTTACTGATTTTAGTATTCTCCATTTCTATTATTCTAGTTGAGYAGTTTGTTTTCTACATTTGAAATAATCATGAGTTTCATCGTTTCTAATTGTTTTTGCAAGGTTGTACGGACCTTGTCCCGTTCCAATTACACGAGCGCCATTAGCTTGAAAAATCTACACCCAAAGAGTTCGTTGAAGATTACCACACCGTCACCCGAACAGGTACGTTCCTTATTCAATCCAATATTCGATGATAATAAAATAAGTAATAACTATCGTGACCTACAACAGCAGTGAGACATTTAAATTGAACCTTACTCGTGTAGTTCTACAAATGTAAATCATATTTTAACTATCAAAGTCTTTTCAAAACTCAATGGTATTATTTTTTTTGTTATAGTTGTTGGTCGACAATAAAGTTTTCACTGGATATATACCTGTGGAAGAGCTAGACATCACATACAGCACTTCTAGTGGTCCTGGTGGTCAGAACGTCAACAAAGTTAATACCAAAGTTGACTTGAGATTTAAGGTGGAATCGGCTCAATGGCTCAAAGAAGAAGTCCGGCAGAAACTAATTGATATTGTAAGTTAGTCAAAACAAACTGGTTGCAATATTAAAAAAAAAGTCATTTAATACACTGTAATTTTTCTTTAGAATCAAAATAAACTAACTAAAGAAGGATATTTGGTAATTCGGTCTGAAAAGACGCGGTCCCAACAACTGAATCTTGCAGATGCCATTGARCGTTTGCGTTCTCTCATTTGGAAAGCTGCTGAACCTGAGCCAAAGGCATCTGAGGAATCAGTTGAAAAAATAAGACGCAGGTAATATRTTTGAAATTTAATAGTGTCCRAACTTGAGTTTTATATTTCTTTTTTATGTTAGGATTGAGAAAGCAAATCGCACAAGATTAATAGAAAAGAAAATGAAATCTTTGACCAAGAGAAATCGTCAAGCACCAACAGTGTTCTAAATATATGTAGTATATGTTGCATAATATGCATTATGTGTCTATTTGTCATGATTGCAACTAGATGATTTTATACATTGTTTTAAAATTTTACCGTGTATTAATATTTAATAAAAAAATGTTATTTGTATATAGAACTAAAGTAGTTATTCATATTTTTGCAACTTTTATTCTAGTTTGATGAATTAAAATAAAATGTACCTTGCAAATAGTCATTCTGCAGTAAAGCAAGTGTCCTATATATATATATTATCATATATAGTATGTTACTGTAATGGATGTGTTACGTTTTGATTGAATGATAAATSATTAAATTCGATTAAAAATGATTCCAGGCAGAGATTTGATTTGAACAACTAGAGTTACATAGTTACATAGTACATATTTTTTATTTATTTATATCTTATACTACTGTTACTAATTAAGTTTTTATAAATGATAAGGTWAAATTTTTTTTACCTAATTGTAATCAYATGTATTTTTATTAACCGGCGTTACATTTTTTTWAATTTACATTAATATTTAATTGCATTACATACGTTACTTATAACTGCTACTTATTACCTTAAGTTCTAATTATTTAAATCAGTTAACACATTTCTGTTGAGTTGACAAAATTAAAAAGTCTATTGGATGTCTCAGGAGTGGGTGGTAGCATCTCATATAGTGTCTCCAGAAGTTTCAGTTCGATGCACCTTTCAATGAATTGTTGACATTCTGTGAGTTTATGCTTGACCGTAATGATTGTTATGCACGTTGGGTTTTCTTTGGCCATGAGGTATCCGTGGGTCATGCGGGTGCGGCCTACTTGTTGGTGGACGAGAATTATCTCATCCCTAACAATATGTATTATACAACAATATTTCATACAATATAACTTGATTTCATTAACTTATAAGTCAATATCCACACGTGTAAATGTGTTCAAAGTATGAATGGTTCAAAAGTTACTKAATTGTTTTGAAATAATTTCRGTTGTCGGTAGGTGTATCTGCAAAAGTTTTCATCTGTTATCATAGGCGCAAATAGACAAATTATTTTGGTGGGACTAAAGCCCCTCCTATAATATTTTCTAAAAATTATATATGCTTAGTACTAATTGCTGACTTTTGAACTGGGGGGACCAAGTCCCCCCAAGCCCCCACCTATTTGCGCCAATGTCTGTTATTGGATGTGGACTACTTACAACCGGTTGGTTTTTACTCAGGCTTATGAATTATGATTATCTTTGATCAATACAGTTTAGTATATTTTCTTTAGTTAGGGGCAGCGAATATTTTTACCGGCCCATACATGGGTATTAAGTTAACATTTTTATGCTCAAAATYAAAATTTAACTTTAGAACTTAAAATAAATATATTTTAATCATAGATTGTTTTTGCTCAACACCGGTATACCATATCAAAATTAAAAACACATCAAATATCAATAACATATTATTCTTTATTATTATAATACGGTTATATAAGTATTATTATGTTATGTTATTATTATATAGTAATAGTTCGGCCCATACAAATATATTCAAACCTTCCAGGGGCAGCAAGAGCACAGGTATCAGTAGTCAAGGATGATGTTTGGAAGGTGACTCTTGAGTTAATTACACAACGTAGAATTCTTCTTAATTAGATTAATTGTCTATTTATTGTTGTAAAACATATATTTATTTATAACATGAAAGCTGAATATAAGTTAAGTATTCTGAATGATAGAATAAATTCGGTTTGATTTGAATATTTTCTAAGTTCAAAATATTGTTTAAAGAAATTTTCTAAGTCCAATGAATTAAATTAAACAACAGACTGGCGTGAAGCCCGTGAAGGTGCTCTGGCTAGTCTGGTCAAGTCGCGTCTGAATACAGGCAGTTTCGGGGTCCCTTATATAGTGCTACCCTCTACTCCCCATAGTCTACTTGCTCTTGTCGCTGTTCTCACGGATGTGGTAAAGTTATCTAGATTGACGGAAATGCCACTCGCCCACGTACKAGCTAAATGCGTATCCCATGCGACTACAGACTTCGATAATTTATATCATTATTATTATGTAAAAATATACATTATAATATTACATTATGACATTGTTTCTTGTAACTTTTGTAATGATGCATAACCCCACATCCTGTGCACACCTATCAACGATCTTTCATAGTGGTCTAACCACATGATTTCGTGTTGCCCTAACGTTAATGATTTCCACGAAATGCTTTCTCTCTTATAATTACAAAGTTGGTCGCGTCCTACCCTATCTTGGTTCGGCTGGTACCTAGTTGACCGTGAACTAGACAATGCGGGACGCTAGTCCATAGCACTGCCCTGTGCGCACGCCTATGATGTGTGTGATAATCACACATTCAAAATTTTGGCAGATTTTTATTTAATCATAAGTTGAAATTAATCAAATACCAGTTTTTTAATTAATAAACATTTTTTGCAAACAATGAAAATGCCTCAAGTGTGGGAGTGAGATGAATTTGTGCATAAGAGGAGGAACAAAGATATGAATTCAACGTTGCAAACAGAAAGGATGTTAAAATTTCAAGCAAATTTTATTTAATTTTGTTGAGTGATAGTATTAGGTTTTACAGAATTTTTTATTTATTTTAAAATTATAATTTATTTTTGTTGCTAGACCACATATTATATTTGAAAATCAAATATTAAGTAAATACTAAATAATAATAATTTGTCTTATAACAAAAAGTATAAATTTCCTAAGAATATTTTTAGAATTATAACTAGGGTTCAGATGTTGTCGCATTTGCAATTTTTTTTCTATTTTCGGATTCGTTGCTAAGTAAGTTATAAATTTGTTTCAAATAAGTACCAATCAATATATAAAAATTTTAAGTGCAACTTTTTGACCTTTTTAAAATTTTATTGCAATTTTGTTGATTGTCTTCATTTTCAATACAATTATATATATTTTTTTGTTTTCACTTTTTTTTTGTTAGATTATACAGTGCAATAATTTTTAAGGTAGGTAAGGTTATTCTAAAAAAACAAATCAAAAATAGTTTAAATAAAAAGTTTTAAATTTTGWTAAAATTATTTGTAGATTTCTGAAAAAATAAGAAGACCGCACAATTTACCAGATTTTTAATGACAACTGACGAGAATTTGAATCTTTTTTATTATCTACTCGTTTAAAACCTATCTAATAAAACTTTATAATATTACTTAATAAAATGACTTAATCCATTTCATAAAATAATTTGTTAATATATATTTTATAATTTTTTTGGTACAAAATATTTTTTATTGCAATTTTGGGTTTTTTTCTCACAAAAATGATGCAATCAATTTTATAAAAATTTTAGTGCAACAACATCCGAATCCTAATTGTAACAAAATAACTAAAATCAATATCTTTCTTTTCAATCTTTTTTCATAAAAATTTGAATTTGAAATTTAAATTTAAAAAAAAATTGTACCTATTAAAATGTACTTATGAAATTTTTAGATTTCTGTAAGAACACTCAATATCATATGATTTAATACAGAGGTAGTCAAAGTTTTTCATCCCGCTGCTTTTGTGGATGTTCTTCATATTTTGACATCTTCCAAATTATTATGAAAAAATTTAAACACACGGATACAATATGGCCAATATGGGTGATAATAAAAACGATATTAGTAATAGAAATAAAACTTCAAATGGTTGCGTGATGTACTTCTTTTGCATTGCATAATGATTATAAATAATATGAATAATAATAATACAAAACATATTATACTCTGTTCAAAATAAGAAACGCCTGTGGCGGTCAGCTACTGCGTGGCCGTGGCAGTATAACACAGCTGGGTATACAGATAGTTGACTGGGTGGGATGATAAGCGGGTGTTTCCTGACAGCCGCCCAACGAAAACTGGTCGGCGCCTCTTATTTTGAAAAGAGTATAGGTAACTATAATCACACTATAATAGTGGTTTTGGGTGGTTTGACGAGGGGATAGACTATAAAAAAGTACTTTTGCAATGTATCAGGTTTGAACTGGCGACTGGGCACATCTGTGTGACTATTGCACGTAATCAATTTACCGTGTTCAAAGTATTTTCGTTGTATTTTACAAAAATGTAATAAATTAGATAGACAATAAATGAGTTATGGAAAAAAGGATAATAATTTTAATGAAATATAAAAAACAATTATTGTTTGGCTTCAGTCAACAAATACATCTTTATATTTATTTCAGCTAGTGCTAAAAATAATTTCATTATACAGAATAAATTATTATATCAACTAATACATACAACAATTGATTTTACATGTTAAAAGTGTAACAATTAGCACTTTCTGGACTATTTAAACATATATTTCAAACCTAAATAAAAGAGGATGTCACAGGTTGGAAAAACGTTTTGCCTAACATAACTAATAATAATATAGTAAATGTACAAAATTTGGTTGAATACTAACTCAGTCTCGTCAAAATATTTTTTATTTATATATATAAATATATATATCGAACCCCAGGGCTCCATCACTTAATGAACAACATTCAAAACTAAAAAAAATGTTTAACTTTCTCTTACGCATACAGAAAATGTCTCCATTAGCGTAAGAGAGACATTAACACAAAAATACTTATTTTTCAACTATTACGCCAAAATAATGCGCAATATTATCATAAATAAATAAAAATGTATGTACAATATAATTACGCATAATGCATTCTAATAACAGACACTTGGAGTGAACAGTATAGAAGAATACAATATAAAGAAAAGCACTAAAAACAAAATAATTAGGTTTAATAACTTAAAGCAAACTAAGAGGATGGTTATTTTTAAGACTAATTATGTTAGATTAGTTTTCATTCTTATTTCATTGTCAATAACAATATTGCATTACATATTTTAAAGTAATATTGATCGAATAGTTATTTGATCTTTTAAGTTTAAAAAAATGAAAACTAAACATTGTATAACAAAAAAAAAAAAAAATTTGGTAATAGGATTGTTTGGTAAAAGGAAAATAAACTTAATTATCATAAAATGAATAGTAAAAACTAATCTAAAAACATAAAAACAAATAAAAAATAATAGTTATAAATAACCGCACCAATAATTTCTATTAGGTAGGGATGAAAATAACTTATTACATACGCTAATTGAATTAAAATAATACAATTTTTTTTAAATGATTTTTACTTTAAATGCAATAATAGACAGTTATTGAATAATTTGTGCGACTTAATGAACAATATTTTTAAATATAAATTTAAATAAAATTTGAATGAGAGATTAAATATGTAAATATTGTCAAATTGTATGGAATAATATTTGTCTATTGGCAGAAAAAGAAAAGAAAAATGAGAAATTAAATAATAATTACACTTCAGGTATTAAATTGCCTAAAAGCATAATCATATCTTTAAGTAAAAGATACACAGATTGAAATAATCAATATAACAATGCAGTCTTAAAAGACTTATTTAAATAAGAAATTAAACAATACACATTAATTAATTAAATTATATAGCACCTTAAAGCATCTAAAATATGTTATTTGCATATTATAGGCATGAGTAAAGCATGACTATTAAATGATTAATATACATAACATTTTAATGGTTACTATTTATGTAATAAATAATATACCAAAATACTTTTGCAATTACTGGTTAGTTACCCAATAGAAAAAATTGTCTATCATTTGAAAAAAAATTTAAGTTGTTATTGATACATTTTTAAGAACTAACTAAAGCAATAACTTGTTGAAATTTATAACAAATTTATGGGTTTTTAAGGGAATCATACTTATGATTTTAAAACGAAATAGCCTTTGAAAGTGTTTGATTATTATATATAGTCAATTGAGTAGGATAAACATACCAGCAAATACATTCAATTGCCTCTGATTTCCGCAATAACTTATTAAAAATAAAATTATATATTAACATTGCACCATTGTACATTTAAGGCAAACTAGTTTTAAATATATTCTTTTATAGTAACCCTCCTTTACGAGCAAAAAACATAGAACTGATGAGTGTCCCTCGTGAAGGCTGAGGGTCATTTGCTGAAGAACCTACGGTACCCAAGTCCATACGAAGTCTGGGGCCGCCACTATCACTGCCATTATCTAATTGTTTTAGACGTCGTTGCAATGCACCATTTTCAGGCTTAGGGGGAACACAGTCTCCTATTTCGAATACATGATGACTAGACATATCTGGTGGAACAGTTGGTATATAGTGTTTCATTGTCTCTACAAGTCGTATACCAGCCAATGTCTAAAACATTTAAAAATGTGATAAAATGTTACAATTTGAATAATAATAATAATAATAGCTGTTTACCTTTTTGTCTGGCCTTATGAGTGATTTTGATTTGCGAGACTTGTGGTGTTCAGTACCTTTTTCAGTRCCTGTTAAAGTCTTTCTCAATAATTTGGCACCACTGTGCATCAAATATCCTAAAAAGGAATATAAGAATTTTTTATTTTAATAAAAAATAGATATTTAAAACTGTTAATGAAACTCACCAGGTAATCCAAATGGATGTGAGTAAGGAGAATCTGATGGTGAAGGCGAACGAGAACGATCGGGGGACCCACCAGGCGATCCATATGGGCTGTTACAAGGTGTGGCTGTTGCAGAAAACATAGGTGTTGCTAGGGCAGAAGGTGTAATTGCTCTAATACCCCTTTCATTTAACATGGCTGCTAATCCACAGTTAGTAGAAAATGTTGTAGTTGAATTTCTCCTAGATAACATAGGTGTAGTCTCTCTGGTGGGTACTCGACTATTGGCGCAGCTATTTACTGCAGTTGACATGGCACTACCTCGAACACTGAAAAAATAAAATCAAACAATATAAACTTGTCGCAACAACAATATTAAGTAATTTTTTACCTGGTTGTAACACTTGTACCATCATCTGGATGCATTACCCTGGAATTGGTTAATGTAGTGATGTGAGTGGACATTTGAAACATTTTTCCAGGATGTGTTCTAGGTTCATCTTCTTCAATTTCGTCTAGTCTAAAAGTTTGAGGAAGCCCTGCTATGGGAGCAGTTGAATCACTCTTTTTGATCACGCCTTGAGGTTGTTCTTCCAGAATAGAGCTGAGAGATGGAACAGATTGAGCATTCCACTGTTGTAGCGTAAATGAACCTTGCATGGGCTTAACCAACTGGACCCAATCAAACAAAGTTATAAAAAACAAAATAGATAATAGAGAGTATGAATATTTCAAATTACCTGTAGTTTATTTGGTGTTTTCCAAGTTGTCAAACTTATGCTACCAGTAGACATAATTGAGTCAGGGGTTCTAGTATCAGCTGAGTCATAAGGATMAGCAAACATAAAACCAGATCCTAACGCTGCGCGTCTTGCTTTTATTGATGCTGGTGTTAGACGTTTCAAGGCATTGGCTAAATCCTCAGATCCAGGGGCACCAGGTATACCAGGTTGTTCACTATAACCGTTCACATAAAAATTGATTAATGATATGAGCATAATAAAATAATAAAAATTATAATTTTACAYAATAAAAGAATCGGTGTCAGAGAAATCATCACAATCACTATGAGTAGGTGATTCTTCAGTTAGATCGTTGTACGCAGTTTGCCGGGACAAATTTCTAGTGCTTGTTTCCATAGCTGACGTCAACTTCATCATTCCAATAGACTTCTTATAACTACTTGCCCCAGACCTAAATAAAACGATAAAATTAATAAGTATATTGTTTGAGCTGTATTATACTCTTAGTCGCAACAGTTCACTTACATTCGTCCAGTACATATTCCTGAATCCAGACTGAGTTCGGAAAACAATGAACTCTCCAAAGAGCTATGACCATGGCTGTGAAGCCCATTTGAGTTCAAGTATGGTGGAAGAGACGTGAATAGAGGGCCAGCTCGAGCTAGCGGTATGTGTTTATCCCTATATCCTTTAAGTTCGGTTTGACATTCATGAAGCATAGTTAGTGCTTCTTCATATTGTTTTTTCACTTCGACAATTTCAGATGCCAACTCATTTTGCGTGTCCCTTGCCAACATCAACATGGCCATAAGTTCTTCGTTCTCATCATTTTTCTGAAAAATTAAAAAGGTATGATAACACAAATTTGTATATAGGCAAGGCCATACAGAAAATAAATTATGGGGAGGGTTGCTAACTAAAAAAACAAAACATATTTTCAAAAATATTTGAAGTTGTGATGAAAAATATAATTATTCTTGATAAAACACTCAATATTCAATAAAATTGTTCTACTTCTATAAACAAGAAATATTTGACATCATAATATGAACTATTTATTATTATTATSTTATTTAATTAGCCACATAAATCAAGTATTTTTTTGAAAATTGATTTGAACTTTTAAATTATTATTATAAAAGGTAATATAAGATTATTTCAAAAATTCAGTTCCAGTTTAATAAAGATTTGAACAGTTTAGTTTGGGTTTAAACTCAAAAAATCAGGGTWTGTGATATCACTAGACTAAAAATACTAAAAATATTGCGTACAATTTTTAAAGACGCCTCAATGCTGGACAATTTTGAGCGTAGGAACTCGCAGTTGTTGTGCAGTGTTACGTTTTCTTCCCTGTGTTTGTCTGCTTGTTCCATAATGACGGACAGGTCAGACCTCGTGACACTGAGTTGAGATGCAAAGTCGGACATCAGTTGTGCTTCTTTGGCTTCTACCTCGTCGGTTTCCATTGCAAGTCTGTTTGCCTCACCCCGCAAGCTACGGTTTTCGTCCTCCAGATTTTTGAGCCGTGTTTGCAAATAACCGACACTGACGCCGTAATATTTTTCGTTTTCAACTGCATCATCATCTAACGAACAAACAATGACAGAAATCYATTATCAATACTATAAAAATTCAAATTCTTAGACGTAGGCGAGAGGTATTTTTGAAAATTAATGGTCTTCAAAATATCATCAAACGGCTGTCATTTCAATTTCAAACTATACTCACTCGCTTCGTAGCCAGTTTCATCGGCATCGTTACTGAGTATTTTGATGAGGTCGTTTTTTTTTTGCAGCTCGTACGAAGCCTGTGTGTAACGCTCATTGACAGTCTTCAACTCTGTCTCAAGCAATCCCACCCTGGCTTCGAGCGTCTGGTTGCCGGTTAAAAGTTCTTTGCCAATGCGCGCCGTTAGCTCCAAATCTTTTTCTTTCTGTTTGATTAAAATAAAAAATAAAATTACAAAATGGTAAGGTTTAAATCACGATTCATAAATTGGAAAAACACAATTTGTTTTCATTATTATTATTATTATTATTATTATATATTATGAAATCAATGATACAACAGAAGCGATTTAATTTGCTTTGAATAAAAGCAAAATAAAAAAAATAAAAATAAAAACAATACCAATAATAATGCATAGTATTATAAAAGTCTACTCACTTCGGCTAATAGTTGGGTTACTGCTTCGATATCATTATAGGTTTTTGTCATTTGGCTTACACGGTTGCTGCATAGGACTGAAACACATAATATCACAATAGCGTATTATATAATATGATATAAAACGGACATTAATCAAAATATTTGTATAAACTAAAGACAGTTCAACGTTGCCGATACGTTGATAAGCGCTCGCATTGCCATATTATATTGCCGYACGTTACGCAACTGATATTAATAAAAKAGGGTGATGCTCGAGAGTGGAATAGGGTGGTGGTTAAAGGGAAGTAGATACGTTTATTGATCCGCGTGCGCCGTCGCCTCCGCGTGCGTCTGTACACCCGGAGTCTGTTTATTTTTTGAAACTGCATTTTCAATCTGTACAAGATTATGCTTGCAACGTAATAAACAAACTCGTTACGACAGCAATTATTGGTGTAACCTAAATGTTAAATTCACCTTGTATAATCTACAAAATCTCATCAGCAGAAATTTATTGGTACATTTTTACTTTGTCTATTCGCCAAATTTCAAAAGTGTTTAAAACAATCTCCACATTTTGAACATCACGATGTGTTCAAAAAGGTCACAATTTATATTTCATAATTAAAGAACGTTTTACCTACATGGCTACATACGTTCAAATTACAATTACAATAGTTTCATCAAACGGGAGCMATTATTAACGTAATTCATATAATCATAAGATACCTACGTTTTTTAATACAACAACATAGCAGTAGAATATAATATATAGGTACCAACTACATACAAAATGTCATAACTACAAAATTAAACAATTATATGCCAAAACAATAGAAATAATTACAAAGGTTTGTTATTCGTGTTCTCCATACGACAAAGAAAATAAGAAATGATAACAATTCATAATTATATTAAGTCCATAATGGCATAATGTCTATATAATATATGAATTAATGAGTATAATATACGTGTCGCGTTTTTCCGAGGTTAAAATATAAATTATTATAATAAATATAAAATATGATAAAATAATAACTATAAAAATATAGAAATACTATGAAATGAAGAACGTATTATCAGAAACCTTATACATAATATAGTAAACTGATACATTTTATAAATGCACTCCACTATTGACACTATATGCGTAAGAAATTAATAACAATTTGAATAGATTAAAATTTTATAACAAAATGCGTGTGAAAAATAAATCGGATTTGAGTTTAAGTTCAATTTTGTACCACTGTACCAGTGATGKTAGTATGAATGTTTGAGTATTGATATCAAATGTATTTTTATACATAATTTTTTTATGAAGTAATAATAGAAATTATTTTAGGTCATCGATTTAAAAGTATTTACCTATAACTATAAAAATGTGTTTAAATATAATTTAGAATGCCTATAAGTGAATACATCTATTAAATGAAAAAATAACGTAATGAATAGGTAGGTCATATAGGTATTAATTATGGTGATTAAAAGAAGAATTTAATAATATTATTGTCATTATAATAATAAATAATTAATATATAAATATTAAATTAAACAATTCGTGGAGTACAAATTTAAACAAATCGAGAATCCAAGGTTGTAAATATATATAGGTTAGGTTAACCTGGCATACGATATACACGAATGGACATTATGTATGAGTGTATTTCCTGATTTAAAACAATAGTTTTGAAGATTATTGTACATTAATACAATAATATATTATATACATTGTAAGGTGTATATAGCATATAATAGAAAGCATGAGAAGTTCTTTATGAATACATTGAAATGAAAGAAATGTTATAAATTCATGTAAGGTGTAATACTATAATAAAAGTAGTAGTAATTGTAATGGAATAAAATAATAATCAAAGAACATAAAATAACAATCGAAAGGTCGAAACATAATATGAATAATTGTGGTTGTACTACTGCAGTTAACGTATATATTAGAACGTTATGGATTCGTTTTGAAATTACCCACAGCTAGGTAATTATGGTATGGTACGTTTCAAGCACACAAGCAATCGCTATAGGCTTTTTAAAATGATTTACCAGGAGATTGTGTAAAAAAAAATCAGTATAACATTTTAATGTATATATTTAGAAATAACCTAAATTAACGGATAAACTATCGCCTAGGCACTAGGATAATATAGATAATAGATAATATATTAATTCGTACACGTATAGTACACGTATACGAGTAGTAGCAGTTGTAGAGATGTCGAATTAATTATAAAAAAAAAATATAAACTTAATCGGTTATACAATAGGTTATACATTAAATTTTGTGGTACATTAACAAAGCTACGCAATGATGTAATATGTAAATCACAAAAATTATGAAAGGAACACAAGCAACAGACATTAACAGTAACAATTTTTAGTTTTTGACATTAAATATATACTTAATGTAAGAAAACTAAAAATACCCTTTTATATAGCTACTTGGCTATTTTGGTAAGTGTGTAAAAAAAAGTAAAAAAAAAAAAAATACCAAAAACATTTAAAATAAACTCCATATATTAATATATAATCTCAAATTAAAATGTGAAATAATATAATTATTAAATATGAAAGTTGTGAAATGCTGAAGGGAAAATGAAGCCTTTATTCAATACACGTATTATTTCATAAGTAATTAACTGCGTATTATCCTAAACTRGCTAGCAGTAGTAGTCGGTAAGTGACTACAGCCGACACTATTTCAGCGTATTACCTATACAATACATACAAGATCATACACACGGAACATTTTTAACGTTTAATTTATAATTTAATTTGAAAATGTAATTTTGTAATGACTTAAAATTATGTAAAAAAAATACTTAAAAAACCTTAATAGTTTTTGAAATAATGAATATATTTTGTTAAAATAATTAGACTATATAGATCCCCTACCCTATCATGAGGTTTTTGAACTTTTTTAGTGAAAAGTATATTTTGTTATGTCGGTTATTTTTATGAACTAGAATAATTGAATTACGTAATTTATAATAATAACAGACATTAAAATACATACATATTAGTTGTTCTTACAACCTGTGAGTACTCCTAATTTGTTTAATACATTTATTTATGCATAAAATACGAAATTGCATTATAAATGAGTTAGAGGCGAAAGTAAATGTAATGTATATTATGTGGGTATAATTGATGACATTTAACCAATTTAGTTATTCAAAATTTAAATTGGAGTACGTAGGTAATTAAATCATTTTTAATAACTCACGAGTTAATTATAACTTAAGACTTAATAATTACTATAAAAAAACGTTCTATAAACTAGAAAGACAATCATTTAGAAACTCAACTGACTATTCGATAATTTTGACGATCCATTCAATAATTGGTAGGTATATAATTATATCTTTCTGACATAAAATATGACAAATTAAGAGAGAAGGATAAGTTTTGAACTTTTGTGGGCAAACTTCAGCTTAAAAAATTCATCAAAGATTAAATTAGAAATAGTAGGTATAAGATATTAAGATAATTTAAATACAGTAGTTGACAATTGTTTTGAACTGTACAAGTCGACAGTCGAATTACCCAAGAGTAGAATGTGAACATCAATAATTCTGTACAGATTGTTAAAAAAATGGGAGAAACCAGAAGCCTCATCACATCTTTGTGTTTGAAACTGTACACGCACGTATGTACGTCACATAACACATAAGTGACAACCCGCAATAATGAACGAGATAAATTGCTTATTTTATGCCGTATAGAAGTTATTATTCAGAAGACTAGAAGAGCGTTAGTTTTGTCGTCTTGTCATTGAGTTTAGTATATTGTAATATACACGTAAATACGTTATTTAATATTCGATATGCTATGTATAAAAATTTTTTAGAGAGTATGAGGATTCAAAAAGTATATGGTAACAGGTAAATTATAAAAATAATACCTTGAGTTATAATATATGGTACAAAGAACAGAACTTGTTAGTAATAATGGTTATAAGGATATATATAGTGTATTTTCATTCCACAAGAGTACAAGACAAATTYTTCATAAATGAGAAATTTGAAACAAATCTCAAAATGATAAAAATGTAATTTTGAATCTAAATACCTATATAACTTCAATAACAATTGGTCTTAAATCTACGTATGGTTTTTCTAGGATTAGGTCAAATAATGTACCACATTAAAAATTCTAATTATTAATTCCTACTCTGCTACTCCTAAATTAAAAATTAACAAATGTATAATATTGTCATAGTTTATTTATAATTCATAATGTTTATACTTTATTATAAATAATTAAAAGATAATTTCAGATKTATAATAAATATTTACACACATACTACGCATATTATRTATTTTTTGTATATTGTATATATAGGGTGATTCTTTTATCAAACAAAACTCATTATTTCAAAAACTATCGACTTTTTCAAATTTTTTTTTTTCAAAATTTTAGAACCATATTGTTCTAGAACTATATATTTTTTTAAATATTTTCACCCTTGTATTTATCAGGTTTATTTATCAACTTTTGATTTTCAAATGACAACCAATACTTATAATTTCATAAACTAAAAAGGCTATTTTTTCAATGAATTTTCACTTTTCGCTAATCYGTTTAAAAGATATAGCCTCCCAAAGTTGGGTGATTTTGAGTGGTGTTTGTGTGTTATAAGTGTATGTTAGGTGGTATTTACACACAAACACCATGTAAGTGTTATTTGATAAAATAATCACCCTGTATATATACATATTAATGATACGGTGAATAATAATAAATATTACATGCAACAAATAATMTTTTATCTGTCTTATTATATTGTATAAATGTACCTACTATACCTAATAGTTACCATCTAAAATAATAACTATTATACTAATTGCTAAATTCATTTTTGTTTACAAAAGAAAGTGCTTTTTATTGACTTATAATTAAAAACAGTAGGTAATATAGTATTAAATCGATATTTGTTAGATATATCACTATCACTACACAAATATTCAACATTAAGTTTTTTTAACTTATTGGATATATTACCTAACAAGTCTGAGTGACACTTAATTAAAAATACTATTAATATATTAATAATTAAAATAAATGATGACACGTACAATATACA